CATTCCGGCCACAGCATTTGTTCCAGAATTGGCTGCGTGAAAGATATAAAGCGAATGTGACTGCAATAGGGGCAATTCAACGTGGCATGGCTTTCGTTGAATTTAAATGTGCAAATCGCCTTTCTGTGGTTCCAATACACGCCTTGAATTTCGCGGTGTGGAATGAACAATCACCCAAGCTATTGCCAGCTGCAACAGTCCCTATGTTCCTTGTTTCACAACAAACACACGATTCTCAGCAGCTCGACACGAAATTAACAGGCCTGGTCACTCTGCAAGATGGGGAATGTTTTGCCAGCGACCACGATGGTCACCGCGTCGCCCAAGTCTGCCACATCCGCCCCCCGGCCAACCTCCTCGTAGCAACAGTCGGCGCCCTTCCCACGCTCAAACCCGGCACCCGAATCGCGAACGGCACGCGAGCAATTGAGCCGGCGCCAGCCTCCGGGTCATCGAAACAACCACGGCGCTTGCCCGCTACAACGGCCGCCGGGCCTTGGGGCCCGGCGTGGGGTCCCCGCGCCGCAGGCCCCCAGCGTTACCCACAACCGTCGCAGCGCGAGCCGCCCTGCCCTCGCCACCGCCCGGCGCGGCCGCAGGTCTCCGCCCAGTCAACGGAGGGTCGCTTTTCTACATCTTTCTGTCCTCACCGATTCCCCTCAAAGGGCTTGCAGCTCGGGACGGCCCGATCCGCGCCATTCCGCGCCGCCGCCTCCCGCCCCTCCATCCTCGCGGCCCGGAGCGCCTCCGGCGTGGCGTAGGAGAAGACGAGCCGCCTGTCCTGGAGGCCGAAGTACCGCTCCCTGGCCATGTCGATCGGGTCCCTGGTGGTGCAGAAGAGTCCCGCCATGGCGGCCGTTCGTCGGCGCTCTCCGCTCCTCCCGTCGCCACTGGGGACGGTGGCGATAAGGGGATGCGGCAGTGGCGGAGTGCGGGCCAGGCTCCCGCGCGCTTCTGACAACTGCCGGGCGAAAGCGGTCGATCCCACGCAGAGCCCTGGCCGCACTGGGTCGCTCCCGGGGGGCCGAATATGTGCGAAGGATGGACATGTGCGCGGTGCAGCAAGAGCCGTACTTTCCACCATCAACCGTACAATCGTATTAATCGTAGTTGGTCATCATACGGATGACATCCGTCGGCGAAGCCGTCCTGTGAACGGGCTCGCGTTTGGCGCAAACCTCGGGCACTCAGTTGGATTGACGAAATTGTTGCATATCAGGGCGAGGATGCAGCCGTCGACTCCCTATTCTGACGAAGAGTGATCCCAATGAACTGATCAGAAACTGGCTCGCTCGGGCAAAATAGGAAGTTGGCGGCTGCCTCATTGCCTTGTTCTGTTGAAAAACGAATGACGATGATGAAACATTGTCCGCGATTTGCTCGTTCAGAATCCAAACCACCGCATCTCCAGGCGTGCAGCGTTGGCAAGGATGCACCGTCGGGGTGACATTGAGACAACATTCCGACACTCAAGATTTCTGTTGAAATACCAGCCCATTTCTCGAAGGACATCTCCGTGGGCTTGCTGTGGAGCTGAATGCCTGCATATCGAACACCAGAGCCGCCAGTTGCATCTATCTCTTGGAATCTCAGCCCCTCTGCGTGCCCAATCAGTCGACCTGGCCTGAAGACGGGCTCTTTCATGGCCGTGTGCAGAACAGAATACGCTAAGGTACAGAAGTATTCATATACCCATGCGAAATCACTGGCAGCGTCTGTACCAGCTCGCTACATCGCAAAAGAGTACTTTTCTTGATGTTCTTTCGATGAGTTGTCATTGACATTCATTGTCAGACTTTGGGAACCATCCTAATGTGCGAATCGTTGCAGCAACATCCTGAGTTTCCATTGTGAAAACCGCTGACAGTGGATGTCCGATATGGAATGCGGGCCTGACGGCTGCTGCCTTGCTGTGATATGTGTCATCTCCTCAACAATGAAGAACTGATACATTGGGTAAAGCGCAAAGCTATTGGACGAAAGCCGGTGTTCGGACAAATTTCAATGGATGTGCAAAGGGCGGCGGTCAATTCTGGCCGTCATCCCCGGAGATATCGCAGTAAAATCACCCTCGAAAGGGCAGCTGAGCCATGTCGACAGCCTCAGCACCACGTCAGTTGAGGGATCACTGAACGGCCAAACTTTTGCCCATCTCGCGAACTGGCTCTTCAGGAAGAACCGCTTGCCGCGCCGACGACGACCAACAAAAATAGCAGCGACAGCAAGGGGAAGCTTCAAACGGGTGGCAAACGTCCCACTGCCAGCCGCGGCCGTCCCGGCTCGATCAACGGGTATTGCTCGGTAAAAGCCTACGCAGTCCGACTCGCCAAGCCTTTCTGCGTCCAATGCGCCCGGTCATGCACGGCTGACAACTCGCCAAAGCAAACGCACTTGGCCAACAGTGACCTGTGTGCTTCTCAGTACTTCGCGGCGTTTTCCAAACGTGTTTGACACCGGTGTGCCCGTGTGACGCGCGCTGCCACGTACTGGAGCTGTGTCCGGCATCACAACTGCATTCTTTGGGTTCTTTGGGCATGTAGCGAGGCTGCCATGGTCTCTCTGCCACTGAAGTCATCTCCTTACATCCTGAGCGCCTTGGGCTTGGATTCCGAGAAAATTCCGGAGCACCCCTGATTGATGTTTCTGCCTCATTGAGCGCCAACCTACTGGATGGCAATCAGTGTGACGAAGTGCTGAGGCTGTCGACATCCCCTCTGCATCATTTCTGAATATCACGTGTCGCTAGCTGAGTGATATCATTAACTTACTAGTTTTTTGGTGAGCCCCATTTATTGGCGACCCGAACAGATATCATAATCCTTGATTGAAAGCAGATAATGGGCGCTGCGAGGAACGCGGACCATGGGGATTCGAACAGAGTTGTTCGTCCCAACGACGCCGCGACCGTTATTCTCCGCCACTTTGTTTGTCATCGATGTTCTGACCAATGTCATGAAGGTAATTCGTGACGTTCGCAAAATCTTTCAGAATGATCCAGCACGGACACCCACACGAGGACTTACGTTATTGATTGTTCCTCTATCGTCCATTGCTGTCATTGGCACCCTCATGGCCACCATACGGGGGGTGGCAACTTGACCCGAAAATTAGGAAAACAGCCCTCTTCATCGGCTGAAAGCTACAGCATACAACAAGGCCAAACACAGCGAAAGAACCGTCCAACAGCACCCTTCCATGCAAATGTGTTGCTCCTACAGTACTTTAGCACTACAGGCAATGCCACAGTCGTCCGGCGCATTGTTGAAGTTACCGGGCCAGGTGCCTTGTGTCCTGGGACACAAGAGGCCAACCAACCCCAAATCGATGGGACGGCGCCTTGCCTTTCAAGGCTTCGCTTGCACCCCGCAGTTGCTCAGTGAATAACATTGTGTCATCCCATCAATCAATCGAAGTTCCTTGGTGACGATATGATCTGAACGTGGTGAGATGTACACGCACAGTCAATGTGCAAACAGTGCTTTGGCCATGGTACACGCATCTATTGAATTCAGGCGGTCCTATAGTGTCAATTTGATGGTGATCTACAAGGGACTCACGTTGCACGTCAAATTACCGCAACTGCGAAAGAGCAGTATTGTACACGCGTGCATGGGCCCATTTGAAAGCAACTTTCATTGGCCTGAAGAACCAGACAAACAGAGATTCACACCAGCACAGTTTGTCAACGGTTACACAATTACAGCATCAGGCGAATTCAATGAATACAGCGTCAATAATGGTTGCTCACTGCAGTGGTGAGATGCAGAACACACCTGCCGCACCTTCCAAACCACCTATAACGGTGACTTGAGTGCGCTTTTGGTGTTTCTTTTTAGTTTTTTGAAATCCACGTTCATGCCAATCGCCGAATTCGTTGATTGCAATTTCTCTGCGTTGACAAAGTGCAGCCCCAGCACGTGACAGTTGGTTGTGGATACAGATCCACACATTGCTTGTTAGAGGGCGTTTGCTAGTGTTCCAATCCATGTACACCTAGAATCCCATAAACACAGATGGCCCTGTTCAGCAATACCCTGAATTCAGGAGCTTTGCAATCCTGCGCCTTCTGGCGGAAATCAACAGCTGGATGCAGTGCACCCTTTAGCTCGTCCCAAATTCCTTGCACTGCTGTCCTTGAGCTGGCAGAAGCTTGTGCTTCAACCGTTCCAAAAACACACCGAACAACTGCAGACACACAATTTGTGCGACGGAGGTGCACGCTTTTCGAATCACGCTCGAATGTGGAATTTTTCCAGTAAGGCGTAAAGTGGAATGTTGCACACATGCACATGAAACAGCATGCATTCGTGTCCTTGCTCCGTGCTTTTGTGAGGAACGTGGTGAAGCCTCGCATGTCAGGTCTTTCTCCCCCATGCGACGTTTTAGATTCTGGGGAGAGGCGTTTCCAAGCACAACAATTGCATTGGCATCTGACACGGTAGCACAGCAGTGCTGGTTATGTCTGGAAAATTTGAACACAGGTGATCTGTGTTCAGGGATCTGTGACAGATCCCTGCGTCCATCAGGCTAAGCACGTCCCAAAATAGCTCTTCATGCACCTTGGGGCCCCTTGTGTTTGCTTCCCTGACCAACTCAGCGCCCTCTCGTCACAGCCCACCAATCCCCAGGAAAAGCGAGGATTACAAGCATTACGTGGGCCCTGGAGGCCGCCAAAAGACAACCAACGCAATCGAATTCTGCGGTTCTGCAGTTGCCAAGGCGGGGCGCGTTAAGGCGACGTGTGGGCTGGGCGCGGAACACCGCGGCGGCAGGCGCCCACGGACCGAGGGCTTGCCGGTGGTTCAAAACACAAGCAATGCTGCACCAGCGATCCATTCATGCCCCAGCAACAATACTGTCGTCATTTAGCCACGCATTACGGTCCACTTACGGGGAAGCTGTGGGAAACTCCGGCCTGCCTATGGGGAGGCTCCGCGCTTGCTGGCGGCACGAGCTGTAGACCGACGGGGCACAGGGCGAGCCGGAGCGCGTTCCCCGCGATGGCCCCCCTCCGCATGCCGGTCCTGCGGGGTAGCCCCTGCCTCGCCCTGGGCGCCCCGCAGCCGGGCCTGCGCGCCAGGCCAGGCCGCGGCGCCGCGGTCGTTCGGGCCGCCAAGACGGCCGACGGCCCGTCGGTGGCCATTGCCGGGGTCACCGGCGCCGTGGGGCAGGAGTTTCTGAGGGTGCGGGGATGCCAATGTCCGAACACGGGGTCAGTAGCAGGGAATGGCGTCGACTGGTGATCGTTTGTTGATGGAGGTGCGCGTCGATCAGGTGCTCAAGGAGCGGGACTTTCCGTACAGCAAGCTGAAGCCCCTCGCCAGCGCCAGGTGGGTGGCGGGATCCGTGCGGCAATGCGGGGGTGCGCGATTTCGGGGTGGTTGTTTGATAACCTTGCGAGAGAAACGAGAGGGGATTTTGGCGCAGGTCCGCCGGGAAGCACGTACAGTTTGATGGGCAGGACATCGTGGTGGAGGAGCTGACGGCGGACAGGTGAGGTGGACGGCCTGCCCTCCCCGCTTCGGGCGCTTCAGCGGGGCGGCTGGGCGGATGCTGACCGGCTTTGATCGGTGTGTGCGCCGTCAGCTTCAAGGATGTCGACATTGCCCTGTTCTCCGCTGGCGGCAGCATCACCAAGAAGTTCGCACAGGCCGCCATCGACTCTAACTGCATGGTGAGGGAACATGCCGCGCCCAGTATGATACACAGCTTGTGGCGAAATGTTGTGGGGTTTGCTGAGAAAAAGATGTTCAGGGCTCTTGCGTGGCTTCTGTCAGAAATGCCGGTGGGAACAATGGCCGTTTGGGTGCATTGGTTGGGACCCGGATGACCTTGCATCTGGGCTGGAAAGTTTCGTCACTTGCAGTGCGCCATGCTGGTGGTGTTTCCCCAAATTTGCTGCCGCCTTCTGTCGCTTGCGCGCTCCCATCACAAGAACCTGAGTTTGCCACAGGGAACCCCTAATTTCATATCTTCTCTCTCAGCACAGTATGGCTCTGGAGGAAGTGCTTTTAGGCAAGGTAGATTATGGCAACGCAGTAGCTGAGGGCGCGCTTTGGCACTGTTCGTGCTGGCTCACAAGTGAGCCCTGAATGAATCCTTTCCTGACACAGATCCCCTCCACACTGATGGCTGCGTGGTTTCTTTTGGCAACAGATCGTCGACAACAGTTCAGCCTTCAGGATGACCGACGGTGTGCCGCTGATCATCCCAGAGGTGAATGGAGAAGACATGGCAGGATACAAGGTGGGCAAGGGGGGCATCATCGCAAATCCCAACTGCTCCACCATCATTGCCTTGATGGCTGTGACGCCCCTCCACAAGGCGGCTGGTGTGGAGCGCATGGTCATCAGCACCTATCAGGCGGCCAGCGGCGCCGGCCAGGCTGCCATGGATGAGCTGGTGCTGCAAATGCGAGAATTTCTCGATGGGAAAGAAGTCACAAAAGAGATTTTCCCACTGCAGGTGGGCCAAGCAGCTTCCAGTTAGATTGGATCTTTCAAAGACAAGTCACTGCCATTCAGCCTGGGGCGACATCGGGTGCTGTTTGCATACTTAGTGTGTTACTCCAAAATGTTGTTGTGACCATTCCCAACTGAAAGGCTGGAATGTTGCCAGTGTATCACTCCTGCATCGCCTCATGCACATTCGCATATGGAATAATTGGAGTCATTAATCACTGCCATGAAATGCCGGGGAGCTTGGTTTTTCTGCAGGAGTGTGCATGTGACTGGTGAGCATGGCTTTGTCTTGATCAGATGAACTCGATGTTGCAAATTAGTTTGTGTGCCTTTGCCTGTACACACACAACTATTTATCGTGTCTGAAACGGCACACCTTGGACTGGGCGTTTTGTGCGAACTTCCCGATTCATATCTCTAACTGTGAGTTTCTGCACACCCATTAATACAAAGTGGAGTGAAAGGTGTTGTGATTGTTGTCAGTCCCCGTGCCTGTGCACATGTTTGGGAGGTCTGTCACTGATCATTGCCAGCTGTGCTTGATGGAATCAGCAGGCTTGACATCGATTCCATATCATGTGAACAACATGTACGAATCCAGCGATGCTGTTGTCCTTTGACCACTATACTACATTCAACCCTTCCGCATCAAAAGATCTTACCGTTATGCTTGTTGCTCCGCATTTTCTTTTTCAGAGTGTTATTTTATTTTTTACATCGCTCTGCAAAAAGTTTTTTGAAATAGCTTAATTTGCTTTATTGTTTTCTCCGCAAAAAAGGCCAAGCATTACGTTGCTATGCGGAAGAGTTGAATATACTATGGCATTCATCATCTGGCATGACGTTGTCTCAGCAGTAGCCATGCGATCCGCTCCAAATCGTATGCGTGGCTGGCAGTAGCCTTATCATTCTGGCACTTGTGCCACAAATGGCATGCGTGGGACTTCAGGGTGCAGGTAATTACTGCTGTGCCAGTGACAACCAGTGTATGGTACGCAAGCTATTCATTGATCGCCTTTCTGCCACAGTACGCCTTCAACCTCTTCTCCCACAACTCGCCCATAACGGACACCGGCTACAACGAGGAGGAGATGAAGATGGTCAAGGAGACCCACAAGATCTGGAAGGACCCTGACGTGAAGGTCACTGCAACCTGCATCCGCGTCCCTGTGATGCGTGCCCATGCAGAGAGCATCAATCTTCAGCTCAAGAATCCCCTGACCGAGTCTGAGGCCCGTGCGGCACTGAACTCCAGTCCCGGCGTCTCCATTATAGACGACAGGGAGAACAACAGATTTCCCACCCCCCTTGATGCAACCAGCAGGGACGATGTGTACGTTGGGAGGGTGCGACGGGACATCTCACGGGGGGATGACAAGGGACTGGATTTGTTCGTGTGCGGTGACCAGATCAAGAAGGGGGCCGCCCTGAATGCTGTTCAGATCGCCGAGCTGCTGCTGTGATTGGGATTTGGAGAGGTGCCTGCTGCAGGGAAGTTGCGTGGGGAGCACATGTGCGCCTGCTGGCGACGAGGGCATTTTTTGCAGAGAGGAAATAGAGCAGCGTGGGTAGTACTGATTATTTTCTCGGGGGCGTCGGCGTTGCACTGGCCATCGGTGCCGGCATGTGCCCTTTGACAAGGGTTGTCCAATGGGATGGTAGGATTTCATTTCGCCATATCACAACCAGGCATCCATGTGGTTTGTCAACAGACGCACCCCTCAAGCGTTGCTACTGACTTGGAGTTTGACGTTTTTGTTGCTTGGTGGCTTCCGTCTGCGCGAGTTGGTGAGGTCCCTCTGCTCCGCAGTGGCGAAGCTGATGTGTTGGCAGTGACATGAGCCAGTGGTTGAGCGGCGGGAGTGTCGGTTCCCTGCTCTGCGACCTCTGAGGGTTTTTGCCGCATGGCGGTGCCTTGTGGGGTCACATCTCCGAGGAGTCTGGGCTGTGGCGGATAGTGCACCACGTGATGGTGACCACACGAGCTGAAGAAATTGGATTGCTGCGCCGTGGCGGGCATTGACTGAATATCACAGGACAACTTTCGATCCACGGAAGAGCAATGTAATACGATTCCTAATCAAATAGCGACAGTATTTAGGGAAAATATACCCACCAAGCTTACAAGCTTATCCACAGACCGTACCTACCACCCATGAAAGTTAGATAATTGATTTTGCAGCTGACTGTGTGAGTGACAAATTACAGCAGCGCATTGTGGAATTGAGGGTTCGCCTGTGTTCTATTGTTTTATGGCTCGCTGTTTTATGATAACGATCCAGGGAGGGGCTTTGGGTTTGGGCTTTGGGCTTTGGCAAACGTTACAACAGAACTGAGAAGACTGTTCGAGTACCGGCCGTGAAACAGCGGCTGGGACCTCGCAACCGCTGCAAGTCCTCGCCGAAGGTGTCTTGATGTGGGGACATATCGTGCAAGCTGGTTCTTGCAGGCGAGATCCATTACAACTCTTGCAACCCACACAACGCAGCCTGTTCTGAGTGATCTTGGCGGAAGAGGTGTGGGTCCAGGGACCATGGGAACTGCATCGCATTGCAGGAGCAGCGACAGTGTTCTTCGAAGGGACAAACGCCATGAAAGCGGGTTCCACAGTAGGGCGCGACCGATGACTGTCAGTGACAGTCCTGCTGACAATTTGTCACCAGGTTCTCATTGCACACGCCTTGATGGAGGTAGGCGACAGCACGTGCCGATTACTGCAGGGAATGAGATCGCCAGGAATAAGCGAGACCAATGAACCAGCGAGGAGGATGGCCATGGAAAACATGCGCAGCGAATTATCGCCCGTTCGCCGCAGACCATTGCAGCCCAGCTCCGGATTGGAAGGTTGCAGAATCAAATTTCCAATACGGAACATGCTGATCGGACCGTACTGGCCACATCCATGCGCAGGGGCAATCGGGTCCACTGCTGCTGTCCCCTGCGCATCTCGTCCCCATAATCTTGCTGCCACTTTCGCAGCCATCACTTCTGGCGCTCCGTTTCTAGAACACACAGCATATCATTGGTTGCGACCACATTCCTAAACCCCCGGGATCACGCACGATAGCCCTGTCAATTACAATTCCCATAGTCCCGTCAAGCGTCTGCGCTCATCGTTTGGTAATGCGTCGGGCGCACAACGGCGGCGGGATGCAAAGCGTCACTGCATCCCAAACCCAAAACCCAACCTTGAGATGCAGAGGTTGGCCTGAAACGCAAGCTCCTTGATGAACCGACCACACGGTCAAACTGCCCAAAACATGCCCTAATCTGGGGTGGCAGGACCCACAATGCCGCCATTTGCGTCATTTTGCGCAGGGCTGGTGGGGCAGGCATCGCTGGGTGACCCATCCGGCTCATCCCGAGCCTCCTCCCCATCGTCTCCGCTGCTTATTGATCCCGCCGGCTCAAATTCCTCAGGGCGCCCCTCAGGATCTGGAGCAGGGCCTCCGCTGGAGCCCTCTAAAGAGGAGCCCTGCTGCACCCTCGCGAGCTCGCCCCTAAGCTGGAAATTCTCCGACGTGAGGTGTGCTATGGTATCCTGCATTTGTGTCACTGATTCTCGCAGCTCCCTGTGGCAGACCAAACCGAAGGGAAGCTTTTCAGGGACAAGTTTCATAAGGCTCCCCCACTTTGTTCATAAAACAGAACCAGCTCCGCGCCACGCTTTCTGCTCCAAACAGCTACATCACAAGCAAGTGTGCAAGTACCACATTCTTACTGCCATTGTTTACGATTCCAAAGTGTTAGGCGGTGTAATATTGTGGATTTAGAGAATCAGGTACCACACTCATCCTCATAGAACAGGCACAGCCATTTGTTAGTGCGGTGCTTTCGCCAGGACATACGCGCTCCCACCGCGATGTCCATTGGGTACTTTGTGGCATGAACGGCAGGCAGCGGGTTTCAGCTGCAAGAAGAATACTTGGGCGCTAACCAGCATAAGCACAGAGGAAGAGCTGGGCACCAACATGTGTGAAATTCGCAGGACGATTTGTTCGCCACTTTCGAGCCTGCATCCCAGGCTCAAGCCGAACACGGCTCCTATTGAGCTGACGAGCGGAAAGCGCTCAACAATTTTGTCGGGACAAGCTGTCCCGGTGTGCCAACAGTGATTTGTGGGCCTTGACTCATATTTTCCCAAAGCACAGCTGCAGGAAGACTTGGCAGAGGATTCCAACATCTACGGCATCTGACTGGCTGAAGTTCCGTTGCCCATCAGACCATGAGCATTGAGCATTTTCGTTGGGAAACGGTGGGCCCTGTGTAACATCCAATCCTGCTCGTAAATCTCACAAACTCATGGCGGTGATCATTGTCTTCTTCTACTCATGGTGCTTGCCAGCTCTCCCTCTCTTTGCTGCCATGGCTGCTGAGGTTGATATCTGCAGTCATGGGCAGGTTCAACTGAAACTATTGAACAAGAGACACTGAACTGAACGCACCATAGACAGACGCACCACGGACGACGTGGCAGTCAGTAATGCACTTCTCTGCGGAGTTCATTGCAACACTGTCGAAGGACTCAGATCATACAGCAGGGTGCTTACTCCAATGCTCAAACCTTAGCTTCGGTGACAAAGCAATGAGCCAGCACAAGGCCAGCCATGCGCTGCACCGCAGCATTGCAGGATGCAAGGAGTCTACGCAGAGAGCAGCTCGCACCTTAGTTCATTTAGCAATTCAGGGCTGTCCCCCATGATGGACGTCGCCAGGTGATCTAAAACTGGGAATAACATTTTCCCTGCAGAATACGCCAGGCTGGCATTTCCTCCACTTTGGGGAGGTTGAGCGACGGGCACAGATTTGTTGGAATGTGAGGACCTCCTCCTGTGACCTGCGTTTTATGCCAGGTGCCAACTCAAACAGTGGATATGCCCCAGCCAGGCAGCCCTTTGCAACCTTACATGCAGTACAACCGGAGTCCTTGTGCTTTGCTATCGAAAGAGAGCCTAATCGGCAGCTATTGCTCGCGTTTGGGACAGCACATGGTCAGAGATGGAACAGTTGCAGCAGCCACAGCACACAGCCAGCCCTCTGAGCCTCCAGTCACCGTGTGCTTCTGGCCAGCCATGTATAACCATTGAGCAGATTCCCCAGGCCACATAGAGCCTGTTATTGCATTGAAAGGTGCAAGCGTAGTGTTTTGCCAGTCCCAGTCAAGGCGATTGAAGGAGGATTACACTGAGTTCCAGCATACTGCTTGGCTACAAATCGGTTGTGGCAAGATGCTCAGGGCGCCACGTGGGAGACATTGTGACAGGCGTGGGGCCTATCTAACCATGTGATCAGGTACTACGTTGACAATACAAGATTTCAGCATCAATTTCTGCACGATTCATGAGTCCTTGGCCTCTTTGGTCACACTGGAATCCATGCAACGCAAAAATGTAATGCAAATGATAGAGCATAGAACACTACATTTATATGATTACAAGATAGCATGCTACAAATACAAATGCCATGCAAACCTGCACTATGTTTTTGGCAACCTACTGAATACGCATAGGTTAATGCAAAAGACTGTCTCTGCTGCTCATGGTGGTGGGCCGTCTGGTAGTTCTCTGACCTGGTTTGTGCAAACGGCTACAGTTTGACATTGACCCTTTGCTGTACAACTTGACATCGATCCATGTTTACTGCAGCCTTGCTGCGCCTGAAGTAGTACATGAGTTTCTGCAGCAAGCAGGTACATACACCCTGGTACATACACCCTGGACAAGTCCATTGAATCCACAACTGGGTGATCCCAGGCGGTACAAGTATCTCAACTGCAACCTGCAGAGAACATTGATATTCAACTGCGTAGGGAATGTTCAGGGGGCTGACATTACTCTCATAGCCAAGTATGGACTCAAATGTACAGTTCAAGCCTTTAGGTCATCTTCCATCGTGTTCATAATGTCGGTAAGTCTGACAAAACTTCAGACCTGCCAAAACTTCAGTCCATTAACTGCTCCTCAAATATGACAGAAATTGACAGAAAACTACACCCCCAGGAACCAAGCATGCCACACACAGCCTCACCTTCTTTCCCTTGATTTAGGTCGACAATGCCAGCTCCACGTAAATGCAAAGTGTCAGGGTTTTGCCCAAAACGGATATCACCAGCAAAGAATGAGGCACAGTACAATTTTGTGTTGAGCCTCCCAGAGATCACATTCATGGAAATAAAGGTGCCCACCTGGACGAGTTTCAGCATTTTGAGATCTGGATGTTTGGCCCGCCATTGACTTGTTCCGTTCCTCAGGGTCGTATTTTTGCACAAGTGCACTTATTTTCTCAAAGTTTGCTCTGTCCTGCAATTCATCACAGAAATGGACCTCGTTACAGACGGAATGCGCACAGTGCACGTGCATGCACCACTGTCATCCACATGAAACATACCACCACGAAAAATCGAAGAGGGGGGAGGGTGGGGGGGGAGGTAACACTTGGGCAGGAATGGCACATTTTGCATCAATTTGTGCTGTTATAAACTGATTGCTCAAACCCTGGCTTTCACTACCGCCCAAAATGGAACGCGTTGGCAAAACCTTGCCACATTGTTGCTGCAGCAGTGTCATACACCGCACCTTCAAGTCTTTCAGCATGTGCATGCGAGCCTTATTCAGGTGTTCCAGTTTCCGAATATCCCTGCCCTCTCTCCACATCAGGTACCCAGTGACCAAGGAGTACCAAATTGCAGCGAGGCATGGGATGACAAACACTGCTGAGGTGCGCACTGCACTCTCGACAGCGGTGTACGTCCCCTCTGGCAATTGGTGAACCTGCCATGCAAAGCACAAGACCACAGTCTGAGCTTGATTGTGGATTGCAATTCAGCTGCTGGCAGCCCAGCCCCATGGTTGTGCATTGTGTTGTCCATGCTTCCCCCTGTGGCCCCCCATGACGTCTACATCATTTTCAAAGCACTCAACAGACCTTCACCAGCCCTTTGCTCAGGCAGGGCCTGCTCATTGTGGTTTATTTCTCTTCTTCTGGTTGCCATGAGTCCATTCGAACATTGGTGCCCCTCCAATTCGAATCAAGGTGGCGCGCAGTGCTGTATGTGGGACCTGTACCAACCAGAGTTTTTATCCGAGTGGAGAGGATCAAACGGTTTTCAACCCTGCTCAGTCCTGTGGATCCTGCGGATAGTTTCAGGCAATCCGTTTTCAAATGCAGCGCACTTACCCACGACGCGTAGGCCCCCGCAGCCGCAGTCAGTACTGCCGCCAAGTAGAACAAATTCGAAGAGAATGTCCTGCGCGTCTGACCCCTCCTCGCTCTTCGTGCCTGCAAACACGGCCTGGCCCAATCAGACACCGTACCGTGGCACGGACGACATACAGTCTGCGGGGCAACAGCCCCTCCTGCCCAAATGCACGCTGCCTTTATCCTTCCGCAGGCTATCCGTATCGCCCACCAATCGTGCTCCCGCAGCGACCATGGTGGATCAAGGGACAACCCGCCAATCGCAAAGTCCACACCATCCCCCACCCTCGACGCAGCACGCCTGCCAGCACGTCCCACCGACCTTCCCCGCCGTGCAGCGCGGCCCCAAACCAGAGCTGACTCATGCATCACCTATCCGGCCCAGGGAGGATCAGGAGCCCAGATGGCTCAGCCGCGCAGCCCAACCCGCAGGGTGGCGCCGCATGTGGGCAAGTGCGATTCATCCTTCCCCAAACCGCCAGCCCAGGCACTCCAAGCCCAAGAACTCCTCACGCACCGCCCCACGCACCTCCACGCGGCTCTGCTCCTTCTCCAGGCGCTCGAAGGAGCGCTCGTAGCTGGTGTAGTAGGGGTCGCTGCGGAACCAACGGGGCAGCCAGCCCAGCATCCTCGTGTCCGCCAGCCTCGCGGGGTCGCACTCTCGCGGGCAGCACGTAGGGCCGGTACACGAGTCCCTGGTCGCAGCTGTTTCTTCCTTGCTTCTTGCCCCTCGGCGGGGATCGATGTTGCGCCCTCCCCCCGGGGCGGACAGGGTGTCCGCCGGCACGCCCCCTTACCCCGCCCCCAATGTACCGCGCCACTCCCCCGTCTACGCTCAGTACTTTATGCACCGCCAACCGAACGCACACCACCCTCGCGCAGCGCGTTACTGCCACAGTACCTGACGGGACACCCGTGTTCTCAGCACTGCAGCCCACAACCTTGTCCTCTCGCCCACGGTATCCAAAGCGTGGGCCCCCAAAACCTGAAAGCGGATTGGCTTTCTCTGCCTCCCGGACGGTGAACGGACAGCCCGGCTGTGCGCGCTGCGGTCGCGGCCGCCCGCCGATGCCCCGGCGCAGGGCGGAGGATGCCGACCGCTTCGAGCGATCGGTGACCCGCGCGGCGCTGCTGCAGATGGCCCGCGAGGCGGGCTTTGTCTCCGCACAGGAGCACGGGCTGGAGGTGCTGGGCGAGGCGGCCAGGGCGAGGGTGGGGACGCTGTGCCGCCTGGCCCGGTGCTACGCGGAGGTCGGCGGGCGGACAGCGGTGAACGCGGACGATGTGGTGGGCAGAACGACGCGGCGTGCGTCGCTGCGGCCGGGATCGCGCGGCAACGCCGCCCCGCGCGCGCCCGCCACTGGTGCGTGGTTGGGCGCCTTGGGCGGCGATTGGGTTGATGCTGGGTAGTTGTTGGTGTTGATTGACGTGTTGGGAGTCGCCGGCCTTTGCCAGCGCGTGGACGGTCCTGGGAGAAGAATGCTCAAGGGGGGTGGGGGGTGGGGGGGGCGGCGGCATGCGGTGCGGTGGGCGCCACATGGGGAGGGAAAGTAATTGGGTGCTCAGGGTTGAGCTGCGCGGGCCAAAACGGGCGTTGCGCATTTTGAACTGATTCAAAACAGTATCTGGGTAGATTGCGGATTGGAACGAGGGAGAAACCGAGGCAGTCATAAAGCAAAAGTGCCTGTGATGGGCTGCAAATGGGTGCCACCATCGTTATTTTCGCGTGAACACAGGATTGCATTCAAAGCTGCAGTCAGCAACAGACAATTGCACAAGAAGCAAGAAGCCTGTGCTGAAGGGGAATGAAGCCACATCAAGACAGGATATCTTCCCTCAGGGAGGCATCGGCCCTTATGTGCAGAGTGAAACGGCTCCATGGTGGAAACATGTGCCACGCGGTTAGGATGGCATGTTGTTTGCAGAAGACGCGTGTGTGAAGTTTTCACTGGTAGAAGAGGGATGTAAATATCGAAGGCCCAAATGCAGGGTATGATAGCCCTGCATGGTCTTTGGGGTTATCCTCAATGCTTGCACTGAACAAGACTTCTACCTGGGCAGGCTTGCGCACTGGATGAGCTCAAAATGTCTGTCAGTGACCTCAAGAAACTCAAGGACAGAAAGGTAAACTCCTGTGGATTTTTCATGGTATGTTGACTGCCATGGGTGTTGGAGGATGCTCGGATTTCCACTCAAGTAGGACCACCATCAATAATGAAAGGCAGCTTGGGGATTGTCATATTGTATCCATTATGCATCTGTGCCGATGTTCCAGTGCACGTGGTTTCTGTATGCAGAGCAAAGGGGATATGGTTTCTTTCAATGTGCTGGTCACACTCAGCCAAACTCGGTAGCACACCGGACTCAACCACCACCACCCTCGAATGTCATGGGCGTGACAGTGGTTGCTTCTGGCATTGCTCCAAGCCCAGTGCTTGATTCTGCTTAAGCAATTTGGCCACGAGAAGGTGGTGATTCTTCTTGGCACTCAGCAAAGGATTGAACTGCTGGGACAAAACCAGGGGCTGTTTATGAGAATATGCACAATGCACGAACATAGCATGAACTTCATAATGCCCTACCACCAGGCTGTCGGGTTCGCAGCCACATTGCCCAAGCTTCCAGTCCGGGTGAAGGTCAAACGAAGGCCCACATTCAAGGAAACTGAAGAGGTGGGTGGACCTTGGAATTATTGCACCTGTGTGGAGGCTTGAATGGACATGTGACCGTGGCATACATTGTTGTGCTCTAGTTTATGCTTTAATGTGGTCTTGTTCTATTTTGCCTCCACTTGGTTGTGTCCATTTGCCTCTCCTCACTGCTTGCCTTGTCTCTTTTGGCTGTATCGGGCAGTGCAGGTTGTTGGTGCATAATGCAAGCCAAGCACATGCAACGATGGGTCCTCAAATGGTGGGCCCTTCTTGGGCCGGAAAAATGCAGCACATGGCAGTGTAATATTGATTGTGCCAGTCCATGTTTAGAACCTGAAGATTTACATCTTTTTGCCTTGCAGTATGCTATCAAACACTGGTGCTGCCAAACATTGTGATGCATGCTGGGACTGCTATTGTCCTAGGTTGGTGGAGTGCTTGCCTGAACTGGCCAAAACTTGACGTTCCACAACCATATTCAAATTTTGGTTCCAAAAAGAGGGAGGAAATATGAAATACACTGTTCCCTGGCATGACTGAATTCTGGAAGGGTGTGTTGCAAGTTCCTCCAGTTGTTGCACTCACCACCTGAAGGCATGTGTGGAAATGTTCTCTTTGCTTGTGTTCTTCCTTCCAAAGCATGCCCCTCCTGAGTTGATGGCGGTGATAGGTTCCAAAGTGTCTCTTTGGCGTGTGTAGTTGCCTCCACCACACATCCCAGGCTTCCTCCCTGTTTTCCCTCCTGAGCACACGTACAGAGAAACTCCTGAGTACTCCCAAAGTCAAGTTAATTGGAGGGCCAGGGCAGCCAAAGTTCATGAAGCCAAGAAGGAGGCTGAAAATGCTTTGATGATGATGGCTGGTGAAGAGCAGCCAGGTGAGCGAAAAGAGTTGTTTTCATTGATGAAAATAATGCAAGTTGCTGCAAGTGCATTTTCCTGGCGATAGGGCCCATTTATTATATTCACAAAATTTTTGTGATTCGTTCACACTGCTGGTGGTAACAGTGGTTGTCAGCAAGGAAAAAGAAGGGGTACAAGTTTTCCGATCCTGAGAATGTGCATCACTGTGGCAACAGTGAGTATCAGTGGACTTGCTGGCATACCTACTTGGCTGAAACCAATTGGTGCTTTGCTGGCATTGCGGGCATGGAGCCACTGTAATGGTGTGCTCTGGTGAGTATTGTGCCTTCACACAACAACAAGTAGTTTCGACTGCTGGCAATCATTGAAATATTTGGGATCAGTGCATTTTCACCTGTTGGAGAATGTCATTGTGCAAATTGCAGTAACACTTGCAGTAGCAATTGCTACAATTTCACATGTGGGAACCTGCCATGCTGTGCACAGGTTGTGATCTGGATGATGGCATTTGTTGCAAATACAGTACAGCATTCGAAGCCATCACTGTACAGTGCCTGTTGCAATGGAGCCAAATGGCTAAACCATTTTGCCTGCAACGTTTTGTGCTGCTGTTGAGCTTGTTCATCAGTATGATGCTCCACCTAATCTCAGTCGGGGGTGGGGAAGTGGATCTTGTTTTTCATGCCAGCTCTATTTTTTTTGTGGATTCGCCAGTAGTTCTTTGAGTCTATGGGGACAAGCGGGAACACACATGTACATACAATCATGGGCTCCAGGTTGTTTCTGGGAACACTGTTCAATGTCGCTGTATTGGTGAAAGGCTTGATTTGCCTTGTTTGGGGCTAGCATATGATATATTTTGCATGATTATCATGATAACCATATTGGGGTTAGTTCTTTTCATGCAATGATATCCTAGCTATGCTGTTGTTTCTGCAACTGTGACTTTTGATGCCCGGGGAGATTTTGGCACTGATTCTTGCACTTTACTGCACTGGCAGATAATCCTTTTGTTGCGAGCAAGTTGATGGCCGAGGGGGAGACATGGGATGGAGATTGGGCTAGCAAGCAAGAGAAAGGTACAGCTGATGAGTGTAGTGCAATTTGGAGAGGATGGAGATCAAGGGCAGAGGACATGCTCAGGGTAGTTATATTCTTGCTGAAATCACTGCTCCTCAACATTGGAGAATATTTTCAAGTGCGCCATGATGGGAGTGCAGCTTTGTTGTGGATCTAAGGGCCTGTTTAAGCCGTTGGCAAATGCGATTGCCAGCTATCTCTAAATTACTGATGCTGCTATGTGGGGCGGGGTTTGGTTTGCCTGATGTCCAGCAAAGCCCGTTATGAAATCTCTCGTTCTGAAATGTGTCTGTGGGAAGCTGTGCATGAGTGCCGCACTCGCAGGCTGTTTCTGGTGGGCTTGTGCATCCGCTAGGTGCCAAAACCTGCAGTGCACAATATCTCTTGGTGACTGGTTGCTGCCTCACACAATGAACAAGTTCATGGACAATGGTGGAGCACACAGTGGCTCCTGGCAGTGGAGGAGGGAAGGAATACATTGGTCATGTGATGTGCTGCCGTGTACATGTTGTGTGTTGCAAACTGCATGGCCCTTGATGCCTCCTTCCCACCCCACCACCACCACCCCAATTTGGTCCAGGTTGTGGGCTTCACCCCATAGAGAAACAGGTGGCCAATTCTAATTGTGTTCCACGCCCTGATATCATTGTGGTCTCCTTGACAGCCGACAAGAAAAGGCCCCGGTCGCTGCTCAGCATCCCCTCTCCAGCAATGCGGCAAATATTGGGCCCTGTGGTGGACATGGCAACTGCCAAGCGCAAGAAGCCTCGCAATGCATTTGGCGGGAAGGAGCAGAAGAAGTCTAAGAAGTCCGACTCTTCGATGCCAGCACCTTTGGCAAGGGTGGTTGAGCCAGACGCGTCGCGCACCACGCCAGAGCCGTCCAGCACCAAGCCAGAGCCGTTCAATCCAGTTGAGCCAGATTCTGTTGTGGCTGAGGTCTACCCCCCCACGCAGTCCACAGAGTTTGGAATGAGCCAGATGCTGAAGTACATGGGGTCGCAGCCGAGTGTGACATTCCCCACCCATTCACAATTAGGAGACAAGCAATCCTTGGATGGCACGTTACCTGTCGTCACAAAGGGGTCGCCGGTCAGGAAAGTTGGTGGGAATGCAGGGAGTTTGGAAGGTGGCGTTGGGGTGGGGGACAGCCCTGTGTCTGGTGATGGCCAAGGGGACTGCAGCATGGATGGGCTTGATGTGGTAGAACTGGGCAGGGATGTTGAACTGGCGCTCACAGAGGATGCGATTCAGGACAGCGCATCTGAGGGTGGTGGTTGAACTTGGGACTTGACAGTGGCTGTGTTGGGGTGAAGCGGGGTCATGGCGACGGTGTCGTTGAATACATCGGCATTTGTGTCAGTCCATGATTGGACCTACTTGTGTTTGTGTTGCACAAACACAATGTACCCAATGTATTGTGTCGCACGCATTCTTTTCGAAAAAGACTGTTTCCACGCTGTTGTGGAACCTATCCACAGGGTGATCCCAAGAAGCAGAAGTTGGAATTGCTGGTTTTGTAAGGAAACGGCACTTGGGTCTGCAGTTTACTAAGCCATACCGACTGTGCAAAGGCGCCGCACAATCAAGCTAGCGAATGGATGGCCTCTCTTCATCTGTGCGTGCAAGCCAACAGTTTTCTCTCCTTGTTGCAGCTGCAATGGAAGGTTGCGACCATGTGACCTTCAAAACGGGGGGAGACAACAGCGCTGCCAATCAAGAGTGTAGGTGCAACAGCCAGTTCATAATGGGCCAGCACTGACCTCAACCGACGTTACAGCACCTACAGGTACGGATTGATGAATGCACTTTTGGGCTCAGCGAAAAGTGCAAGCACAGAATACACTGGCCAACAGTCATATGCCCATTCCCCCTGCCCTGATATATAAGAGATACAGCTACAGGACCACCTGGGGGGCACAAAGTCTCCCAGCTAAACGTGGCATTTCCCCACACAACTCTGGCTGCCAAACCGTATAGCCACCCAGCTGCCTAAAGTTCCAATCAGTTTGCTGATGAAAAGAGCTGAACCAGAAAATGTCCATCAGTCTATACATCCAATTCACGACAGCTTTCTGAATGATCCCGCAGTTGGGAGGCAGCCAATTGGTATTCTGTGGGTGTAACCCTGGAAACAGTAACTAGATCAAATTCTGTTCACAGACGTAGGGCTTTGCTGACAGGTAGGGGCAGCTGCAGGGGTTGTGCTTCAATGGTAGCGAAACTGTTGTGGGCCCGCTGGTGGAGCTTGGGTTTCCATCCAATTCGCTGGGCCACCTGCCGCTGTTGTTGCAGCGCCTTGCCTTGCGCTGGAGCGGCAGACCTTGCTGATTTGGACGACACCCAATCCTTTATACCCCTGCAGCAGCAAAGGCAGTGAAGCCTCGAAAATGTGGGCCATAGACATGACCATGGCCCGGCAATGGCGTGGCCGCTGGTGTGGTCTGCGACCAGGTGCTGTTCTTCAATCCAGCCTACCATCATTTGCCTCTTTGTGGAATGATCAGCACGTGGTCCAGCAATCAGAGCTGGAGACAATGTTCGATGGGATAATGATGTACACTCCAGACTTGGGGCCACCGGTCCCAGGCGTTTGTTCCTTTGCTGCAGTGTTCTGGCAAGGACTAAATGGGGGGTTTGTTGCTCTGATTCAACGGTCTGACAGAAGCATCGCAGCCAGATGCCTCTGCGCACGTCATCCGTGATTGGTAGATGGGCCGACCAACAACAAGATTAAGCAAACCATTGCGGCATAAGCCGCAAAAACTGTGTGCAGTAGTATATTAAACCATTCCGCATCCAAAAGATTGATCGAAACGCTTTTTGCTCCGCACAAGTTTTTTGCAGGGACTTATATTTGGTCCTTTACGTTGCTCCCAACGAATTTTATTTAGAGCGTTATTTATTTTATTGTTTTCTCCACAAACAGTCCAAGCGTCACTATCCGGAACGGTTGTGTATGCTACGGTGGTCAAGTTCAACGCGAGGGCGCCAACCTCTGCAATGCCCCATATTCATGCATAAGAAATTGCCATCAAGCGCACTGCAACGACGGCAAAGCCAAACACCCTTCTCGCTTTGGCTGTCGCCGGCATTCTTGCGGACGCTGGGGGCACATTGCACCAGCAAATTTTGTTCCTTCTTGTCCGACAAGCACCTCAAGGAAGCAGCAGAGCAATGCAACAAGTGCAGCCCGCGCACGTCGGCCTCAATGCTAAGCTACAAAGGCCCCGATGGCCCAAAGGGCCCTAGCGCATTCAAACTCAGAGCCCACACAGCTCAGGCTCAAAGCCATGCGACCACCGTCGAAACCGTCACCTCCACGACACACAATATCCTTGTTCCTAGCCACCGACGTGCTTCACTACAGATCGGTGGGCGCTCGAGCACGGATTCGCGGTCCCAGGCCACGAGCACCCCTCTGCGTTCACTCACTATGTCACGTTTGCAATTTCAGGGTTGCCGGCTCACATGTACAACCTGTCAGGTTGGCGAGGTAAGATGGGAGACGCACTACCAGCGCGCTATGGACCGTGCACTGGGCGCCATGATCAAGTTCTCTCGACCGCCGCCGGTTCGTCGAGTGGCCCACCGGCGGCGCTGCTGAAGCGTCGGGTGGCGTCTCCTCGACGCTGGGGATTGGAGAACAGGGCACGCCTTGGGCCTGCTCCATCCCGGCTCGATACCAACACGGGAGCAGCGATGGGGAACCCTGGCGAGCGCGCAGCAGGTGTTTGCTATGTAGGGGGTACTTGCGCGGTGCAAAGCAGCTGAGCGGCAGGTGCATGGTCCTCTTGTGTGCTGGCTGACTGACAATTTGTGCCAGAATTAGAAATCAAGGAACCACCTCGAAACGCCAGAAGGGCCCTATGTCGGACAATTTGCCCCACTGAAAATGCTGAAACAGACGTAAATTCGGTGAGTGCCTGAAAGAAGCCACCAGCTGGGACCCCATCAGGCACACAAGAATTGATAGCTTCCCACCTTGGACGTGAGTTCCCAAAAGTTGTAGGCAACTTCACAACTGCATGGCTGGTGCCAATTATCACCAGGTTGTCTGCAAAGCTGAGTCACCGTCTTTGTGGTGGTGTGAACCATCTTATTTCAATGCGCGAGGGCATTGGCAACTTGCTAGTCAGTGTGCTTGCTGTGCCTTTGTGCCATGCATCACGAACACAACCAAAACGATCTACTTCTGTCCGGAATTAAGTGTCTTCAATGATTTCAGCACCCTACCTCTCCATCATGGATGCTTGGAGTGTGCTATCAAAATTTCAAGTCAATCTGTTAAGTATTGAGGATTTGGAAGTACTGTGTAGTGAGGGTCCTCCGGCTAGGAACCCACCCATTTTCAACAAAGTCACCGAAACGGCCGTTTTTCGCAATGGTGAGGAGCACGCCTTCGCGGCGGCCAAACAAGGCTGCCCGTGCAAAACCAATTAGTTGTAACAACGCCGTGTGGATGTGTTAAGTTGCGATCTGATTTAATCAAGTCCCAAGTAATACGATCATGAAGTGATCTAAATGGCAACATCAAGAGCAATGCTGCGAAATCCCAAGCGGGGAGTCTCCAGATAGTCGCCCATGCATGGGCGTGCTGGGAGAGCAGAGGGCCTCGTAGGAGCACACCACCTGCTTCAGGCTGTCATGCATGAGCTTACTGTGTCCACAAAGCTTTTGGCACAATGCACCCAAAGTCATACAAGGTGCTCAAATAAGTCGGGAAAGAGCAGCTTTATTAAATAAAGCTGAAAATTTCAGGCATCGTACAGAAAGGCTGAACCAAAAAAAACTGTGGACTGCGCAGGTGCAGTTACATTAATAACGTCATGGGAGGGTGGAACCACGCGGGCTCAACCCACAATACATTGTGAACCACGGGGCCATTTCGTCGTGTTTGTAGCTCCACAGGATCACCACTGTTCACTGGTGGGAGCAGTTGTGCAATCGGCAAACGATGGGTATCTGCTGTGTGCGGTGTATGCACTGCATGGGATGGCCCGAATTCGGATGCAGGCCTCAACCCTGGTTCGAGCAGCGCTGGTTCGAGAGTGCTGTCAGGAAATGGCACTTTGGTGCAGTAGACGTCGGGCCTGGCCAGTGGCCACCTGCTACCGTCCGTTAAATACCGTACTGCGTTTCCGATTTTTAACCGTATTTTACTGTTTTTTCCCCTTGTCACCCTTTTCGGGGGCTAATTGTGCGACTTGAGCGCTTTTCTTGCGATTTTCCTTGATTCTTTCTATGGCTTTGTACTGTGTACTTTGTACTTTGTACTCGTTTTTCTTCGGTTTTTGAATATCTTTGGGCTTCTTTTGCGACTTTCCTTGATTTTTCCTTGGTTTTTGTGCTTTAGCGGTTGTAGTCATGCCTCCCTGCCGCTCCCCAGGCCCCGATTTCCGCCAATTAACGGCTTTTTAAGGGACGGTAGGGCAGACCTCTAGTATGCAGTCCCCTTGATGATATCGATTGTGCATAACACAGCATACGGTGAAGCTAATGAAGGAACAGCTTCCCTTCACATGTGCATATAAGCCAACATCTTTCTCTACCTGCTGCGCTTGCAATGGAACTGTGAACTATGCGAAGGGAAGGGGGGGGGGGAGACAACAGTGCTGCCAGTCAAGAGTTCAGGAGCAACTGCAAGAGTCACTATTGGACCAGCACTGGCCCCAAACAAAGTTACAACACCAACAGGTACATCTTGTTGAATGCATATTCATTGCCTGAATTTGGGATCAGCGAATGATGTGAATACACAGTACAATGGTCAGCAGCCATGTTCCACCCTCTGCTCCCTGTTATATCCTGGTCTACGAGAGATACAGCTGCATAGCCAACTCGGGGGCCTGAGATCACAACGCATCTACCAGCTGGACACTGCCTTCCCCCACACAGCAGCATCCATCCAGCTGCCCGCAATCTGTATTATCTGACATGCCACTACCTGAGTTCTCATAGGCTAGTGCTTGGCTCATCACATGCAGCTTGCTGACAAAAGAGCTGACTTGGCAGGACCGCAGCAGTCTACATATTCTTCGTGACAGTTTTCTAAATCAGGGTACTTTAAGACCTAGCGATAAGCGCCTTGTAAGCAACCCTGGAGGAAGCTACCTAGAACAGCACCTGTAGTTCACACAGTGGGCAGAGACCCAGGGAATGGCTGACAGGTGGGCGGAGCTGCTGGAAGGGCGGGAGGTGCACTTGGGTAGTTAGGAAACTGCTGCGGGATCCCTGGTGCACCACCAGGTGCAATCGCAGGTGCTGGCACTGTCATCGCAGGGCCCTGTGCTGGAGTGCCAGACACTGGCAGGTGGTCATCGTAGGGTGGAACATACACCTGCGGAGGCCCGCGCCACATGCCGTCCCGCACAGAGTTGTGCCAAAGTGTTCGGGTCTCCTGGGAGAGTGCACAGGGCTGGCAAAACGTCCACAGCAGGCAGTCTGTGCACGGGTGCCCCTCCAGTCCAAACTTCCTGCGCAAATCCTGGCGGTTCATGGTCCCAAGAACGATCAATGCGATTCCAGCGACGATTGTGATCGTCGATGCAGCTTGAACCGTGACCCACAAACTGAGGATGGTCTGAGCACATAGAAGGCCATTCTCCTCATCTTCAAGACCAAGGACTTCGCTGGTGATGTGTGCTGGGCAGCTTGGGGACAACAGCATCAGCAGGAAGAACAGCAGGCCCCACAGCAAAGCTGGCTGGGAGAATGCCCTACGTCTGTTCATCCTGCAGCAGCAAGGCAGTTGAACCTTCAGAACGCTGGCTTACACCACGACCATGGCCAGCCCATCACCAGTGTGGCCAGCATTCAAGTTCTGTACTTTTCTCATCCAACTTGCTTGTGCTCTCTTGCCATGCTGTGGAACGGTCACCAGGTAGTCAACTGTCCAGCATTGGACACGCTCAGCAATGCTGGATTGGAGCACAGTTCTGGAATACTGTAGTTTGCAGAGTTGGGCCCACTGTACCCAAGCGTTTGCTCTTCTGCTGCAGTGTTCTGGCAAGGGTAAAATGTTTTAGCACTGCGACTGAACTGTCTGACTCAAGTGTACCAGACAGGTGCCATCTGCATACCATACACCTGACTGGTGGGTAGACTGCCCAGGAACAAAGAATAGACCGCACAATTGCAGCTTGAATTGCAAAGAATGGGAGGGCCAGGAGGCCATGAGGGATCCAAACTGTGACGTGACCAAGGCCTTGCAGCACGAAATTTCATCAAAGTGCATGGCCACTTTCATCAAAATGCAGAGTGACCACGTCAAGGTAGAAAATCTTTCCCGGTTAGACCATCGCCGGTATTCCTGGAGACACTGGCAGCGCACTGCAGCCAGAAAAGCTTGGGCACTCTTCACAAGCAAGCAGCGCAAGGAAGCAGCAACACAACGCAATCAGTTCAGACCACGCAATTCAACATCAGTGGTCGACACCACCTGGCCCTGATGCTCAAACGGCTTCAATGCGTCGCAATAAAGGCCCCGCACAGCTCAGGCCCAAAGGCACGTGACCACCATCAAAACTGTCGTCACAGCGGCACACAATATCCTTGTGCTGCTTCCGACACAGCATGTTTCGCACCGGACCCACACCTCTAACATTCCTTTGCCCACGCCCACCATCCGACACTCCAAGTTTCAGGACTGCAGACTCACCCGAAGGCCACGCATGGAAGGAACCACCCCAGCACACAACTGGACACGCCCATCCCGTCGCAGTTGCCGCAGATGCAAGCCCAATGCTTGTGCCATCGCCGCAGCAGGCCGACCCGCCTCGTCTGGAAGCCCACCGGTGGCTGCCCTGCCGCGTAGGGTGGCGCTTCCGCGACGATGGGGATTGGCTGGTAGGGCACGCCTTGGACCTGCTCCATGGCGATGCCCTCGATAACAGCGCGGGCACGGCAGGGGGGGGAATAGGGCGAGCAGCACAGCAGCGGGGATCCATTTAGGGGGTACCTTCGGTGTAGGTACCTGCTGTGCAGCTGCAAGATCATCGGGAACGTCATGGGAGGGTGCAGCCATGCGGCCATGGGACGTCGAAGCCCAGAGTTGATCCGTCCAGCTTTCAAATGCATCCCATCGGTTGCAAAAGCGGGAGCAACAACATACCACCAATCGCAAGCTACGTGATACGCGGCCTGATTGCCGCGCTTGGGCGGTGTCTTGTTGGCACTGTGTCGTCACGTACACTCAAAAATCCCAGGCTGGCTGGGAACTTGGCCCCGCCAACTGATCTGGTGTGATCAAACTTTTCATTAGGCTCCCATCATAAGTCCGATACCTTGCTCTGTACTCTGCTTTTAGCAAAGTATTCTCGGCCTCCTGTAGGCAACTGACCGTCAACCCACAAAAGGAGGTTCGCCGCCGCGCTGCCCTGGTGAGCACTGAGCAACTGCAAAACGAGCAGCTGGTCTTCCGATTTCTGTGGTTTGGGCAATGGTGGTGGATTGCCGCTGGCAGCGATTCCCGCGCAACTTTCCACTGTGCTACACATGCAGCTCCAAGCGTTTACCTCATTGGACGCCCCGTTCTGCAAATGGGCGGCCTGCGCAATCATTTTGCTTTCCATGACACACATGATGGGCAGCGTGCGGCCGCTGCCGAGTTGCCCAAAGCTCCCAACGAACGAAGAGTATCGCCAGTGGCATATTTCCCATACACATTTCGTGTCCCAATGTCTGCACACGTGGCGGAAGGTGCCGGGTCGTGTCAACGCCGCATTACCCGGTGCATTACCTGGTCCAAATGGCCTCACAGCGCCCCATTGTCCCCATCGAACCGGCGGTTGTACCCAACCTCGACCCGCAGCCGGTGGGTGCCCCGCCCGTTCGTCGCGGCACGGCTGGCGACCTCCTCGCTCTGCTGACTTTCGCGTCCTGCGGGCCCCCCACCCGCACCGATGGCCACCGGCTGGCGCTACAGTGTTCGGATCCCCGACTACACCAAGGAGGAAACCCAGGGAGAAGACGACGTCGTGGTAAGGCGTGGGTCCCGTGCTTCCCCGCAGCTGTTCCGCCGGCATGAACTCGAATCGCAGGGCGACCGCTGTGGTCGGATGTGTGTCTGGAACGCATTAATTGGTCGAATGTTGGCGACGAATATGGGAATCTCGGCTCGCATGGTCGTCGCTTCTCTGGTGGATCGCTTCCGCGCGCTCCGTGTGACAATTCGTTGCCAATGCGGCCATCCGGGAGGCAGTGGGGTGGTGGGGCAACCGCGGTTGTCAGGGCACTTGTTCAGGCTTCGTGCACTGAGTGTGGCCTCAAAAATGGAGCGACATTGGCCGGAATCTTCCCTTGCTCTTCCTCGCTGAATGTGACCTTGATACGCGGAACGCATCCGGCCTCGGCGTGGGACTGTCCTGTCAGTGCACCTGGGCGGGGCTGAGCAGTCCATTTGCAGCTCAGGGCAATCAACCCGTGGGCCGGGGTGTGGTTGTCAGTCCTCCAAACTTTGAGCCGGCGCATGTCCTTCGTCGAGGGGACTGAGAAGTGACACGACGTGCGCTGAGGCGGTGGGTTCTGTTGGCACGCAGTACTATCAGGTGGACGTGCTGGTCCAACCTCCTGGCAGCTCGGAGCCCTCGGCACCCTCCACTGTCTGGCGCCGATTCTCTGAATTCAGGCAGCTGCACACAAATGTGAGTGGGGTTGTTGAGCAATGCTGTTCACACGAGCGAACAAGGTCGTTCGGGGCAACGCAGCAGCTCGAAATGCGTATGCTGATAAGCTCTGCAATCAGACTTGGTCGAAGAGAACTGCAGCAATCCGTGTGAATCTGGCAGAGGGTTACCTAAACAAGCGTCAATCGAGTGGGGCAGTTTGCTGTGCTATGCCACTGGGGAGTGCGGAACCTGCAGGTCTCTGAATCCGTCCTGATGTTTTACGCGGCAAGTGGGACTGGCACTACACATCACGTCTTTGTTGGCCCAGGTTCCCCTTGTCCATCCCAAGCGCTGCACTGGGGCAATGGGACATGGGGTATGCTCCATGGGTGCACCAGAGCTTTGTCCTTGCATGCTGCAACGCGAACATGTGGGTCACCAATTGGCTGGGCCGGGGGTAGCGGACTAGAATGAAATGCAGCAGGAAATGAAAAGCCTCAACATATGACAATGGGTGCGTTGTGTCCTGGGCAGTTTCCTTGTTGGACTGGGTGGCTGGGCTCCAATCGTGTACAGAGTGTGCCTAAGTCTGCTGCGCTTCTCACTACTGCCTTACTTTCTGCACTGCAACCTTGCAGTTGAAGACAGCTCTACCAACCTTGTTCAAGAGCAAGGATTTGGATCCACCTCCAAAAAAGTCCCTGCGTTTTGTCAACAATAGCGAAAAGCTGCTAAACGAGCGAAGGCAAGGGTTGGAAACATGGCTGTGGGCACTTATGTCTCGCAGGGAGATCGCACAGAGCCGAGAAATGAGAGCATTCCTGCAGCTTCATCTGGCTGTGCGTGCTGCAACGTCGACTGGGTATGATGCTATTCTCAATGTTATTATTGGGGTCTTCCTCTACAGAAGTTGCTCCAAGTTGAATTATTCCCCTTTTGTCCTGGATGCTGGCACAGGCTTGTGTGTGTTGAGAGCACCCTAATTGTTCTTGCCAAAAGGGATCCGAGCTGTCAGGTGTCAGGATTGATAATATGGAACCATCGGTAGCAATAGATGGGACTCCAACACAGTCACGATCAGCTTTCCACCGTTGGACAACATGCCCTAAAAGAGGTAGCACATCTTGGACTCTGGTTGCTTTGCAAGTGCTCTGGCTGTGTTCCGTTACGTGGCATCCTTTTCTGGAAAGATTAGAGCCTTGTTTTAAGCAGAGGAAGGAAGGTAGGATTGTGTGTCATCCGCACCCATTTGACATGTCGGAGGAGCATGAATCACTGCAGTCCTCTGGACTTATCCGATGACGAAGAGCACCTGTCACTTGATTCAGCCAAGCTAATAGGAAGTCTTGAGTGCAGCGCTCATTGAATGCACTTGTAGAAATATGAGAATCGCTGCCAATCCACATAGCACACAATGTCAGATGCATATCCTGAGCCTGTGGCACAATGTCCTCCTGCAGGGCAATGTCTCCAGCAACACCTGATCACAGGGCTGGCGAATTTGATCCTACATCCTTTGCTGGTTCAGAAGTCACTGAGGGAGAAGTGGATACTGTCAGTGAAGCCTCTGGTCCAAGTGTCATTACGACCATCAGCAATATTCCCACAGAGAACATGTCCATGGGAATGCCAACGAGATCTCAGGTGGGTTGCCATCAAGTGCATGGCACCTCAAACATAGTGGTAGTGACCATGAAATAGCAGCCTTTGGTGCTGAACTTCATTCTTCTGAGCTCCACAATGGCAACTGGCTTTCTGCTCTGGTGACCACACGTTTGTTGAATATGACCAAGCATTCTGAAGGTGAAGTTGCAGACAGATAAGAATGGCATCTGCCAGCTGAGGCAAGAAATTTTGGTGGCTGAATTTCTGTGTTTCTGGCAATACAGATGGGGGATGTAGCCGAAGCCCTGCGAATGGGTTTGAGAGTAGAGCAGCGCTCAGACTTGAAGAAGCTGCTTGGAATCATAAACCACTACATTGACCAGGCTGGTCGGGACCTTCAAGAGTCCTCGGCAGAGGTCTCGAGACTGCAGCAGGCCAATCGTGAACTAATCGAAAGGACCCATTCCCTGGAGGCTCAGGTCCAAGGAGACAACTCACCGCACGTAAGCTCTACATCCTCGCTGTGCCGATGTGTGTACTTTCCTCTGTTTACATCCCTTGTCAGTGCAGACCAGTCTGTCCCAGTCACTCGCAAGGCGCTGAAGGGCAATGGCTACATTGAACAGTATTTTCAAAAAGTTCAATCGAAGCACAATGCGCTACCCTATTGTCAGACTGTGTGGCCTGTATACCCATTCTCGGAATGCTGTGGCAGTCTAACAAGTGGGCCCCTTTTGCTTGCATTTGTTCAGGACACATCGACTTTGGAATTGCAACAGATCCTGGAGCACAAAGATGCGTCCCTGTGTGAAGCACAGTCCAGAGTGAAGGAATTGGAAGCATCTGTTTCATCCATGGAAGCCCACTGCTCAGGTTTGGAGTCTAAACTAGAGGAAGCCGCTCAAGCACACCAGCTATCAGGCAAAGAACTGGAAGAGAGGGCTGCCCGATTGGCGCAAGATCTGCAGAGCTCAGAAAAGCGGTGTGCAGGCCTAGAGCAGGATCTGGCTGAGTGGAAAAGGAAGTACAAAGAAGACAATAGGAAGCTTGCAGAGGCTGTAAGGGCACTGAGAGGGGAAAAGGCAGATTTTGATACCAAGATTTCCAAACTGGAGGAGGGCCTAGCCAATGCCAGGGATGAAAAGGACGAGGTCGTTGCAAGGCTTCAAGGTAAGGTTCATGCCCTGGAACAAAAATTGGCTCAGGAGCAGCACGAGAGGAGTGCATGGGAAGCTGAGCATGTGGGCAAGTTGGAGGCCTCCTTGAATTCAGCATTGGCAGTGAGCGAAGGGCTCAGGACAGAGCATCGTAAGGTGCTGTCTTGGTTGGATACGATGCAAGGGACCTTGTGCGATGTTGACAACACAGAGACCCTGCTTCTGGAAAGGCTGAACAGTTTTGCTCAAGGAATGAAGGAAGAGAAGGGGGCCCTGGAAGCCAGGTTAGCTGCTGCAGGCACGAAGTGCCAGGAGATGGAGCAAAGGGTGGCTGTCCTGGAGGGGTGCAGTGTGGCAGCTGAAGAATTGGAATCTCTGCAGAGACAGCATGATGCATTGCTGGTAGCCCATGGAGACATTGAGAAGCAGCTGGCAGATAAGTGCCATGACGTGGAAGAGCTTCAGAGGGTCAAGGTGGAGCTTGAGCAGCTACAGTCATCCTACAGGGAAGTCGCAGCTGAGAGGGACGCCGCCCTATCAGCACACGAGAAGCTGAAGGAAGTGAATGGGAAGGTGCGCGGCTTAGGGGAGGAGGTGGGCAGTCTGCGGTCTGAAAACCAGCTTCTGAGACAGCACAGTGCCAAATCTGCTCGGCTCACTTCGGACCTGGAACTTGTGATGGGTGAAAACAAGTCGCTGAAAGAAAAGCTGGAGCAGAAGGAGGTGGACAGTAGGGAGGTAGTTGGGTTGAGAAATGAGCTGGTTGACCTGAAAGCTGCGAACTCTGCTCTGACACGGGTTGAGGGTGAGATGAAGCAGCACTTGGTGGAATTAGAGGCCAAACTCAGGGAGCAGGCAGCCATGGAGCAGGAGATCGCGAGTCTTCGAATGAGCAACGATAGGTGTGAAACCCTGTCCAAAGAAGTGGAGTTGCTGAAGAGCAAGCTGCGTGACGCATCAGCGGACAATGGCAGCCATTTGGGCCCTGTCGCTGTGCAGTTAGACAGGGTATTGGCAGAGAATGAGCAATTAAAGCAACGGAACAGGGAATTAGGCACACAAAACAAGGTTCTCACATCAAGACGATCCGAGCCTGGTGAGTTGGAAACCCTCAAGGCCCAGCTGGCTGATTCCAACAAGTTAGTGCAGGAATTGAGGGAACAATTCAGGGCTGTGGGGCTAGAGAGGGAGCAGCTTGCAGCTGCACAAGAATCTACCAGTCAAGCATTATTGCAGGCGCAAGCCGACAGCATTCAGGCAACCAACAAGATTAGCGAGCTACAGAATGCTGTGGAACGATTGACAGCAGCCTCTGCTGCTGCAAGTGAACTCAAGAGCCCAGCTGGGGATGCAGGGTTGGATGTCACAAGTTCTGACACAGGCGACATGCACCAGCCAGGGCAGCATGACAAGGAATTCATTCAGAAAATCAGCTGCGAAGTGCGCGAGATCTTCTCCCAACTGATTGGCTGTGATGTTTCTGGCCTGCCTGTGGATGGATCAGTTGACCCCACTGCCCTGGATGGTTTTCTCGAGCGTGTTGGGCAGAGCAATGGCCAACTGACTCTCATAGAGACAAGGACCAGAGATTTGCGAGACGGGCAAGCTGCAGCCACACTGGATGACAGACCTGTGGCCTTGGATCTCCGGCTAGCGCTTGCAGACGTCTTGGATGAGCTTGCCAGGAAATACAAAAAGATAAACGAGATCACTGTTCAGAGATTGCTTGCATCTTTTGAGGCCAGCAGTGCACTGCAGTCACCAAGTGGCCATACCTCAAATGTTCCATCGTCACCAACACAGAGTATTCCAATTCCTGCTGCGCACCAGTCCAGGCAGGCCCAGGCAGTCAGGAAGCAGCCTCAGAGGACATGGACCAGGGGCACCCCAGAACAGACATCTCCAAGGGCCATCCGATCCACAAGGTCTGTTGGGTCATATGACGAGCTTGCAGGGGGCTACCAGAGGCTTCCTGGTCGGACGACATCTGCTGCAAGTGCGGAGAGCACAGGGGGTGGGCCCCAGGACCCGTCTTCACCAGAAGGCAGTGGAACAGGGGTCCGGGGTTTCTTGGGCGGCCTTGCAAAGATGGGCCAGAGTTCAGGCTTTATGCAGAAGATGTCGAGCAGTTTCATCAACAGAGCGGGGCAGGCTCCCCAGCAACAGCGGCAGGGCCCTGCCCAACGCGTCCAGAGCGAGCAGAGTCCACCCGGTTGAAGGGGCAGCCGCTGCATCGTGCACTTCAAAATGCGACTTGCGCAATGGCCACAGTGGGTTCTAATCTCACACAAGATGAGCAGGTGAAAATGCGCAATTGCAGCCAGATTGGATGCGTACAATTCCAAGCCAGGACGGCCGTCTGGCGTGCGCAGCATTGGTTTCCTGTGGAGGATGGAAGCTCACGTGGTTGAGGCTCTGACGCTCGACGCAAACGTGGTTTCATGGCGGCAAAATGTGCTGCGGTCATAAATTGGTTCAGAGTTCGCAGGACCAGAGGCACGACGATTGTTTAATATGCAGGATGGTTATTCCATTTGCGCCTAGATGTTGGGGAGATGTCGCGTTAGGTATTAAATTGATGAGAGATTCCCTTTGTACAGTTTGATTTATTTGTGTTTCATTCTCCACAACATGCGAGTGAGAATGGTAGAAATTAGTGTCTCTGATGTCCACCGGCGTATCAACTCTGAATCGGTCGATCTCAGCAAGCTATTTGGGGCGTATCGCTGATTCCAGTATACAGATTCTTCCATGGGTTTTCAATTCGGTGTTCAACCTTCACTAATGGGCTCGGAGAAGGCATGCCATTCTTTAAAAGAAGCACGAATCAGCGTGCCCTAGAGCCATCTCCCAGGTTTTCTTCAAGACATATGTAATGTCACAATCTTTCGTGGCTTAAAAATTCCTCTGCACGCTACATGCAATACGGCGGTCAGATGGCAAGGTGCCTCTGAACGAGATTGGGCACCAGCCTGATCGAGCACAGAGAAGATGGTGAGCCTAGCCGAGATGCGTGAAGTTCAGCGGGCACTTCGATACACGTGCCTCACACGTACTGTCGCAGCTCGCGGTCGCGACTCGTCAGACCTGCACACTTGCGCATGCCATTCTGTCTCCTGGATCACTGTCGTTGGTGTTTGTCACCCCCCAGTCGACCAGGTAACCTGCGGAAGCAAAGGTCGGTGGACGCCCTTCCCTGGTCTTTGCGGTCACCGCGCTTGTGTCCAGTCGAGTTGTCGAGCGGGCCAGAGGCACCAAGGAAACTACAGGCGGAAACTGCGACAGGGCACTCCGTTGTTGGTAGTTGTGCACTCAATGCACTGGCAGCAAGAGGCGGAACGCAATGCATGAATACTCCGAACCAGCCACCTCCTCCCCAAAGCTTCAGAAAGGTCTTTGTATCTTACTTGGACCAAACCGGGCTTGTGCATGTTCGTCATGGCCTATTGCAGCCTGGAATAGCGTCCCTTCATGTGGATGGGGTGCTCAATGCAACTTGACTTCCGTGAAGAAGTACCGGCAGCAAGAACCTTTGGGATTCGTTGCTGACGAAGAGAAAGAAAGTGGCCTGGGGCTGGCGAGGTCATTTTACAGTGCAAAATTCGCCCCATGATGGCGGAAGCCAACCACAACCTGCTGTCGCCAGATGCGCTCTTTCCTCTGCCCGCTTGGGTCGTTGATCTTGCTTTTGTTACTGGTGGCAATTTGCAAATATATGGTGGGCGCCTGCCTCAGGCGGCTACAGAATTTTATTTTGGAGATGGTGGCTATGGGGAATCCATGCAACAGGACAGGCAAGCGAAAGAGGAATTGGAACGAAACGTGCGTACACTGGCCACGGTCGGGCACGAGGAATACAGGGAAATGATGTTGTTGGGTTTTACGGCTTATGCCCCCGCCCACTGTGTTTCCCTCAGGCTCACCCTTGGTGCATTGTACCAATGACAATTGAACATAGCAAAACCAAACAGCTGAGCACTTCCACAGCTGCGTCTTTGCCTTCTTAGGTTTTATGGAACGTCAGGAACCTAGACTGATATTGAGATATGTTCAGCGGGACCAGGATGCCCAGGGCATGCCACAGGTCCCAAGTGCTGGCACATTTTTTCGTTTCCATGTCCGTCTATCTTGCATGCTGTGCCCAGCATGACTAAGAGGTGTCTTGGTATTCTGCCTCCCCCTTTGCATGGCGAGACCGGGTGGTGTGTGGCTTCAGCTCAGAGTGATGTCGAACAATACTTTTGGTGGCTTATTTGCCCATTATCACCTGCAAGGTGCAAAGGCTTCTTTTGTCCTTTCTGTTTTTCTGACAACTGCAATCCAAGGAAACTCACCTCCCAGGTCTCATTGAACTGGCATGGCTATGCATGGCAAAACGGCTGTAACCGTTTGGAATGGATATTACTAGTGTGTCCAGTCGGGATAGATTCCGACGTTCCTGAACAAGCGCCCAGTTCGCCCCCGGCCAGCTTGTTTTCAGCCCTATTGCACCAGCTCACTTGGTGCACTTTATATGTGCTGCTGGCATGCCAAATCTAGATCACAGCAACGCCTCAAGCAGATGTTGCACAAAGACGCACACAATTCACGAACTGGATGGACAACAAGACGGGCTGCAATACTATACAATCAAAACTTGCTGGTCTCGTTTATGTGTGTCCCGCTCCTACTCTCAGAAACTTATGAGCACCCACAGAACCATCTCACACTTTCCCTCGGTTCCCTTTGTCGCAGCACCGTTCACTCACCAGACAAGACGCCCAGGCTTGACATGAAAGCCTGTTCATGGGCACCCCGCCTATCAAGCCCCCTACCAAACGCCTTTGTGGCCCCAAGAACCAAGACACTTCAAGCAGAGGCACAAGGCATGCTGCCCTACAGAGGCAGTCTGCAAAGATAGCCTCCCCTTGCAAGGTGCAGGGGCTCGCTTGTGATGTCTCGCTGACAGATCTAATCCACGGAATATCAGAAGGCAGTCCTCTCGGTGGCGATCACTGACGCCCTGTACCCCCGTCCCTTCCCCAACCCGCCAGCCATCAACAGAATTTCCACCGATTGTTGCAATTCGTGCAGGTGACGAAAGTCGTCATGGGCTCGTCGGCCGACCTCGTCTGCATCTGGTAGTACGTGCACTTCCTCTGGCGGCACACCTTGCACTGAAACGCGTTCGTGGACGCCTGCATGGTGCCCCCCCGCTGGCACTCCAACTGCTTCTTCTGCCGGATCTCCGCCATCATCTTCTGTTTCTCCTCGCTCGCCAGCTCCTCCGACTTCAACGTCACCAGCACCTCCCCGCTGACCTGCCTGGACAGGATCCGCCGCCTCAGGCCGCTGTTCTGCGGGTCCCCGATGTTGAACATCAGCGACCGCACCTTGGCCTTGTAGTCCGCGTTCACGCCGCCGTTCTGCTTGAACGCACGATCCGTCCTGACCAGCTCGCCCGCCAGTTCACGCCATGCGACTCTGCGTCTCGAGATCGACAGGCCGACCCGAATCACCTTGCCCCACTATCGCTGGAGGGCCGGATCGCCGACCCAGCCACCTTGCCCGCCCCCACAGCCTTCCCCTTCTCCTCATCCAACATCTTTCCGTCCGCCTTCCCGGCGCCGGTGACCCCGTTGCGTCCCCTCTTGGCCCCCTCCCCCCCCTCCGCGTTGGACTCCCCCTTGAGCATCTTTTTCCACCCCTTCACGGCCTCCGACGCCGCCGACGCCACACCCGCGTCCGAGTGCTTGGACAGCTTTCGTATCGTCTTGCCCGCTTGCGTGGCCACCAGCAGGTCCACCGTGACGGGCCGCCGCGCCAGCGTCCGCAGCACGTCCACCGCCCGCGACGCCTCCCCGCCGCTGCCCTCCTCCGCGGCCTTGGCGCTGGCCACCGCCTTCGTCACCAGCTTCAGGAAATCCGACGCGTCGCTGGGCGCCGCCATTTTGGCGGCCGTGGGGCGGGCGTCTCGCCCGCTGCCGTGCCCGCGACCGGGGGGGGCACAAATCTGTGCAACGACGGCTTCCACTCCCTTGCTCCCTCGCCATTACCAGCCCCAGCGCAATGTATACATTGCGTGACCGCGGATTTCCGCTGTGAAGATTGCGCAACGGCAGTTTTCCGCTGCGTACATTGCGCAACAGCGGTTTTCCGCCCAAAAAGGCGAGGATGGGCTGGTGCACAACTGGTTATAAGTGCCGGCGGCCAACTGCGCACCCCCGGCGGGTGTTTTCCAGCCACCACGTTGTTGCTTCCGACTCGAAGGAGGTTCGGAAGGCCCCTGATCGGGAATGCTGCCTGCTGCCCTCAGAGCGAGGTTTGCACCCGGCTGGCGCCACCAGCTGGGTCGCCTGGCGCAAGCCCATCCCTCGCTTTCGCGGCCCCGTTGCGCCCCACCCGAACCGCAATTGCCGGATCCCGGCTGTAGCGCCGATGGTGCCAATTTGGGACCCAGCGCCGCGGGTATGGATGCGGGGCAGCTGGACGTGAAGGCCCCTCTTCGCGATCGCCCGCCGCGCCACATCGTGGAGCTGTCGGACCTGATGGCGTGGAGGAGACGTGCGGAGTCACACATAAAGGAGGTCGGAGACTCGCTGCTGCTGGCTGATGGAGGACCATCGGCTTCTGAACTGAAGGTGCAGACTCTTCTTCTACTGGGGTCATGTGCCACAGGTGGCAGGGGTCCTCGTTGGCAAAATTCATCAGAACATGACAGCCCCTGCACATCCACGGAACCTCGATGCCCGCCGCTACTAACAACCGTAGGGATTTTTTACCAGCGATTTGTCGTTCTCCACCAACGCCCTGATTATTGTCGTTGTGGCCACAACAGATAAGAACAAAGGAAGTGTCAATTCCCCAGAATGCAAGGAGTATAGAGCCACATGGTTTGTCGGCAACAGAAAAACATTGCTCTTCGTGTTGTGCATTTCACCAATCGTGGAATTCGTATCTGCTGTTTGGCGCCTCGGACAGAGAATTGCAGGTATGTCAACGTGCTGGTGCCGACCTTGCCCATGACTACCTTGCAGACTGAGCTTACGTGGCTGCTTGAGGACAGCGTAGTGGTAAGAATATCCCCCTCATCTACAATCACTGCCTTTAGATGACATCTTGCACCAGCACGCACATGTCGCTGGTGATCAACTGCTCCTTTCTCAACACAGAAAATTGGCACTTCAAACCATGGGTTTGGGTGTTTTTGCCAAGCAATGTGAGATCAGTTTGGGCTGCTAGGAACTGGATGCCGACTGGCATTCTGAGTACAGTAGAGGCATGTGACAGGACCAGCGTGTCCTATTTGCATGTCTTTTGAAGGATACATTCATCAATGCCATTGTGATGAAAAAATTTGCTGCATTTCAGGAGAATCTTTGCTGCCTATTGGCTCCAGTGCCATCAGAATGCCAAGTAGTCTAATCCACATTGTCAATCACATTTGGTAAGGCAGCATGGGAAGTCGTCTGAAGTAGATCAGTTCATGTATATCCCCAGTGGCTGAGGTGTCATTGCCTTTGCACTAATCAGGCACTTGACAAGTTTCATGGTGATCCCATAGCACCATTGGATGAAACACAGTGGAGATCAGCAAGACAACAAGAACTGCATGCCACCCACCAAGCAGGCAGTTTGACTGGACAGGGCAGTGTTAATGAGCAAGGAAAGGTGCTCATGCGTTTGAACATGGAAGATCTCAACGATTTGTGGCGCAAACGGGTTAAGGTGCGCACAGTCAGCACCTCTGCTCATCCCCTCAAATTTAGTTTAATGTGCAGTTGTTTGAGTGCTCTACTTTGAATGTATCAATGCCTTGAATAGTGTTTTAGGCAGAGCCAGGGAGCACACATTGAGGCTGATGATTGATTTCCCCGGAGACTATGCAGCTGTGGCTAGCAGATCTGGGAAACTTCAGTGCCATTATTCGAGTGTGACGTGCTGTCCATGTGAACATTCTCTGTGTCCTGTACGCCAGTTTTTGCCAACTGTGTGTTGCAAATGCTCATCAAATTGTGAGCAAAGGAGAGAATACAGTGCATAACCACACTCTGATGTCTCCACACTCTACTGAACTCTGTTGGCACATTTTCTGTCATGTCAACAGCAAATTGTTTGTTCGACTTGGTTTGCCTCAGCTAGAGAACCTTGCATTTCAATTCAGGTTTCACACCATTGCAACTGACAACATGTGTTCCACCCTGCAGGAACGTGTACCCATTCAGTACATAACACACACAGCACATTGGCGTGATCTTGTCTTGGCCGTGGGACCAGGGGTCCTTGTGCCTAGACCAGAGACGGAGTTGATCATCGACTTTGTGGCCGACGTCCTAGATGCCCATCCTGGCCTTCGTCATTGCCCATGGGCTGATCTTGGGACAGGCTCTGGAGCCCTGGCCATAGGACTGGCCAAGTTGCTGTGCAGAGTAAGCCGTCTCCAGTATCATTGCTGTGTTGTGTGGTGTCCACTGATAGGTAGATCGTTTGCATCATAGTATGAATCAGAATCGGTGCCAGAATTGACCGTGGGGGTGTTGGCTTTGTCTGGAAACTATCATCAGGAAGCACTGCAAGCCACAGCTTGATACTTCGAAGTACGACTGAACAGTGAACTGGGGGTTGGATATGTGCTTGCAGTATGAGCCTCGCCTGCTGCTCGAACTGCCTTGGTGACTCAAAGGGGAGCCACACGACCTTGTGCAGTACAGGGCTACCCTCAGATGCTCATATCTGTGCAATACGAACGCATCCCATTGCACCCCTGTCTTTGTAGCAGTGAAAGCACTCTGAACCCATAACCACAGAACTAACACAACAAGCATATCAGCAAGAGATCGATGGTGTGGTAGATTCTCCTTGGGGTCTGAGTGCCTCTCGTAGGCTGTGTCACAGGCAGAATGAAGCACCCTGGGGGGGCCTATGTTTGTGGCTGGTAGTGGGCAACAGATGCAAAAGCTTCAGTGGTTGGCCAGGTGACCTTACAAATCATTGCTTTATCATGAGTATTGCATATTTCATTGCATTGCATCCTGAAAGTTAATGTCTCAATGTTATCTCCGTATTGTCCACCTTGATGCCATCACATAAGACACAACCCACAGAGTTCCGTACCAGTCCCACGTGCTGAAGCTGTGGCCTGCGTTGCGTTCAGCCATCCAGTGTGTGGGCAGTAGACCTGAGTCCCATCGCAGTGAGGTACGCCAAGTTCAACGTTGCCAGGTGTGATGCGGCAAGTGCTGTTCATGTCATGGAGGGTAGTTGGTTCAAGCCCCTTGCCAACTTCAGGGGCAAACTTGGTGGTGTGGTGTGCAACCCTCCCTACATTCCAAGTGGTGTTCTGGGGGGGCTCCAAGCAGAAGTGCGCCAGCATGAGCCCCAACTGGCTTTGGATGGTGGAGCAGAGGAAGGGAAGGGCAGACTTCAGGTGACCATTCCGCAAACCACGTTTGGCCAACGTCCACTGCTGAAATTGTGTTTTTGGCAGAAACAAAATACATCACACAATGAACAGCACCTCTCTGGACAGGGTTTCTGTGGCTCCTCTCCCTATTGCTGAACACGATGCAGTGGTATCTGACTGCATAGTAATGGAAAGCACCGTCCCTTCAGTAGCTTGACTGGGAGTTTGTCAGATAGAAGCCTGTTGACATTGTCTTCCTGTTAGTACCTTGAAACCGTTTTTAGAATCTGTGATATTGCACTGGCTCCTCTCTTAATGCCTCTTTTTTGCCATTTTCATGTGCTTGATTACC